CAGGGATTTGTCTATTTTAAATGATTTTTTTTTTTTTTTCCGTATATTAAAAAGGAGAATCCCTATGTTACAGCCAACAATGAGCTTAAGCCTGGCAATGATTGTGAGTACGGTGCAGAACCAGGCAGTGCTTCGTTCTGCCATACATGAAGTCACTATGAAACAGGTCTGACTCAACAGCAACTAACCACAACAACACTTTACAGATGAGAAAGTAACACTAAGCATCTATGCCAAGTGACACTGTCTCTGCTGAAGTATAATGTCAGATCCGTTCATTAATGTTATTTCACTAAGTTAAATTCTGATTTCTGAGCCTGTTCATTAGTCAAAAACCAAACCACAGTCACTGCTGTGGAGTCTGATCTGCCTCATAGTGACCCCTCCTTGGGTTTCCAATTCAGTATGACTACAGCAGTAGACTGCCCAACCTTCCTTCCAAGGAGTAGCTGGTGGGTTTGAACTGCCAGCCTTCTGGCTAGCAGTCAAGTGCCTTAGGCACTACACCACCAGTGCTCCCATGGATATATATTTTATTTTTATACATACACACAAACGCTAAATAAACTCTTCAATTTACAGGTATGTTGGGGGATGGGGGAGAATACACTTACACATTAGGTACAGATTTACAGTTGGAAACTTGCTAAAGTAAAACCAGGTTAATGACTTTGTATTTCATCCTACGCCTAGCATGATTTGTGTTGTTGTACTGTTAAGTTGAATCTGATACATAGCAGTCCTGTATGGAAGAGTAGAACTCCCCCATACAGTTTCCTAGGCTGAAATCTTATGAGAGCAGATCACTAGGTCTTTCCTTCTGAGAAGTAGCTGGTGGATTTAAACTTCCCACCTTTTGGTTACCAGCCAAGCACAAAACCATTGCACTACCAGGACTCCTTAGTTCTCCTGTCTATAAAACTCATTACCGTCCAGTCGATTTTGACTCATAGCGACCCCTTCTTGGGTTTCTGAGGCAGTATCTCTATGGAAGTAGATGACCCAGTCTCCCTTCCAACAAGTGGCTGGTAGGTTTGAACTGCCAGCCCTCTGGGTTAGCAGTCAAATGCCTTAGGCACTGTGCCACCAGAGCTCCCTAGTTCTTCTGTAATACTCAACAATCTGACTATTGCAGCTGAAAAATTATATGACAGAAATCCTTAATCTTAAAATCAGATAGTGTTTTTAAGCACGTTAGAATAACGCAACAATAAGTAACATTTCATAGTAGAATAATTTGTTTAGTTATACAATGAAAGTGATAAGTTGTATTTGTCCACTTATTGGCTAGAAAAATCTGCCAAAATCATATTTCTGAACAAGTACCCCGACATCATGCCGAAGCAGAAAAAATAAATAAAAATAAGTCTGATGGTCTGCTAATGGAGTTGGTTCTGCCATTAACTAGATAATCCTAAAACTCATCAGCTTTCCACACTTCAGTAAATTGTGTCTCATTCCACACTCCATTTTTTTTTAACACTTTCTACAGGTACAACTCAGTGACATTGATTACATTCTTCAAGTCATGCAACCATTCTCACCCTTTTTCTGAGTTGTTCTTCCCTCATTAAAATAAACTCACTGTTCCTACAGGACAGTTGCTGTTGTCCATTTAATTTTTATGTAGACTTCAAATGTGCCTAATTTTTTTTTCATCTAATCCAACCCTCTCATTATCAAAATGCAGAAATTGAGTTAAATAAACATCTCAAGACTACAGAACGGCATTACCTGACTCAGATTTTCCAACTCCAAATCTCTTCCTCTTCCAAATGCTTCTTACAATTCTTAAGTAATTAGCATAATTCTTATAAAACATTTATAATATAAATTATTATAAATTTCACAACATTTTAAATGTATTCAGGCTCGTATCCAATAAATAATTAGCACATGGCTTATAAAACATTTATAATATAAATTATTATAAATTTCATAAAATCTTAAATGTTATTAGACTGGCATCCAATTTAAAAGAATCCTGTAAGTGCCTAAGGCATTTGACTACTAACCAGAAGGTTGGTGGTTCAAACCTACCAGCCACTCTGTGAAAGGAAGACTGGGCAATCTACTTCTGTAAAGATATACCACTTGGAAACCCAAAGGGGTTGCTATGAGTCAGAGTTGACTTGATGGCAGTGAGTTCTTGTTTTTTTATATATAAGCTTTCATCTTAGGGTATGTAATTGCTCTCTGATTTCCATTTAGGGAGCTCTGGTGGCGTAATGCTTAAGGCATTTGACTGCTAACCAGAAGGCTGGCGGTTCAAACCCACCAGCCACTCCTTGGAAGGAAGGTTTGGCAATCTACTTCCAAAGTGAAAGCCAAGGAGGGGTCACTTTGAGTTGGATCTGACTCAACAGCAGTGCTTTGGATTGTTGATGGTGGTGCAGTGGGTAAGGCATTTGGCTGCTAACCAGAAGGTTAGCAGTTCAAATCTACTAGCTGCTCCACAGTAAAAAGATGAAGCAATCTACTTCAGGAAAGATTTACAACCTTGGAAACCCCCTGGGGGGGGGCAGAACTATGAATCAGAGTCTACTCAATGGCAGTGGGTAATTTTCATTTGAATGAATCTTGATTTCTTATACCTAGCATTCCAAACCAAACCAAACCCACTGCCATCAAGTCAATTCCAACTCATAGCAACCTCCATTGGGTTTCCAAGGCTGTAAATCTTTAGGGAAGGAGATCTCCCCATCTTCCTTCCATGGAGCACCTGGTGGGTTTCAACTGCGGACCTTCTGGTTAGCAGCTGAATACCTTATCCACTACATCATAGAGCTCATTATATCTAGCATTCCAAGCTCAAGCTCACTGCCATTGAGTTGAATCCAACTCTTAGCAACCCCTCCTTGGGTTTCCGAGGCAGTATCACTATGGAAGTACATTGTCCAATCTTCCTTGTGGTTAGCAGTCAGATGCCTTTGGCATTATGCCACCAAAGCTCCTATATCTAGCATTTATTGTTGTTGTTGTTGTTGTTTGCCGTCGAGTCGGCCCCGACTCATAGCGACCCCTCCTTGGGTTTCCGAGGCAGTATCACTACGGAAGTAGGATTGCCCAACCTTAGACACCCTTAAAATATTCAACAACTGCTAGTTGAATAAATGACTCATCAGAATGGTTTTCCCAAAGTTTTATGGACATTTAGTTCTATCGTTTTAATATAAAATGTAGAATAGTAAAAAAATAAAATAAAAAACCTTATGCAAAAAAATAAAGGACATGTACAAATTGGAAAAGACTAGTTTTCTCTTGATAGTCAACAGTTATGATATAAGGCAGTCTTATTAAATCATAAGTATGTTAACCTTTTCCTGAAAGAAGAGGAAGATTTATAAAGACATTGTCCCTAAACTTGGAAATGACTCATATTTGACATGTATTGAAATGATAATGCTGATTTCAGTAGGTGTTCTAAGAGCATTTTACTCCCAGGAAAGTACTTCAGGAATGATTATTTCTTTGCATTTAGATTTTAAACTTTTTTTTGTAATGCTTTTAATGTACTACTGTCTGCCAAAACATGGCACAGTTTCACAAATAATATAAAATAAAAAGGTAAGTAAAAAAGATTTTTTTAATAATTGTTGATATAAAAATACCTGACATCTTTTGCAGACTCCCTCTCCTTTAGCAGTTCCTATTTCCACATTTTTAACACTATAGCTCAATTATTCTGTTTGTCAGTGAGTGAAAAGGACTTAGAGATCTAGAAAAAAATCAGTTCTATAGCTGCTAGCTACTGAACACGTGGGAGGTAAGCACTGGTAGATGGAAACCATATGTGCCATAGTCAGAGCCTGATGTGAGACTGACCTACACCTTTGTAGATCCTCTGAACTCTGGTGGCAAGGAAACCCTGCTCTCTGCCAACTGCACTTGCTAAACTCAGGCCCTAAATGCAAACTCTAAGTCCGTATTTCATACTGAACTGACTGAATATTCCTTTGTCAGTGGCTCCCTACAGATATCAGTTGTGGTTTTCTCTCTGCATTTGTATTTAAATTTACACTTAAATCTATTTTTTTTTTCTCCTTTGATGCACTGCTTTGCCAAAACATGGCAGAATTGCACAGTTATAATCATGCAAAAGAAAGATAGTTGCAAAGTGTATTTAAATCAACAACAATACCTATACTCAAAGTGACTCTAAATCCAAATAACAGCTCTCAAAACTCTTTAAGGATGTCTGCTCTCTGTGAGAAATCAAAGATAATTTTCATAAAATAAATGTGAGTGCAAATGTCCTGTAGTGGTAATGGGGGTTGCTGCTTGGATGCTTAAGAGAGCGCATACACTGGGCACTGCATACACTGTGCCTCTGGTACGACAGGAAAGGGCCACTTTTGGCTACACTGAGCCATTCTAGTAAAGAAGCAAATAGATAAATTCTGCCTCTATTCCGGAAACTGTAAATACCAGATATCTCACAGCTATGTCAGCCTTTAGCAGCTTCTAAGTCTAGTACAAACTTTAGTTGACAAGTAAAGTAATAATCTAACACCTTTTGAGTGTCTGAAGTATAAAGTTCATTAGTTCTAAGGTCAGCATTTTAATGCAACAGCCAGATTTTATTCACATTATCAGATGCTATGTGAGAATGGACAACTGTAAAAAACCAGGCAGGGGTTTTAATACTGCCATGACTAGTTAAATTAGTACTAGACACCAAAAGAGCCCTTACACATTTTTGAACAAAATAAAATGCACAAACAAATAAGGCAAAATTTTCCTAAGGATATTATTATTCCAAATGCCTTTATATTGAAGCTTTTTTTTTTTTTAACAGCTATTTTGAGGGGAAAATGTTGGTAATATCAAGAAAGGCATCATTAGACCATTTAAATATTTTTCTTCTTTAATTGTCATTTACACATACCTGAAATCTAAGAGATACTGCTTCAAATTTTGTGGGTAGATGCCATTTAAAGGAGGAAGGGAGATAGGTTCTTGTGTTTAACCGAATGTTAAATATTTTTTATTTTACTCACCTGCACACTGAGATGAATCCATTTCTTCACAAGAATTCTCCCCAGTGTCATAACTTTTATTGGAGGCTGCAAACCATTTACTGTGCGATAATAAAACATGGTCTCTTTCTCAGATATTGTAAGTTTGAACACAATCTGCCCATCCACTCCCTTTTCTATAACACACCTTGGGAAGCAACCAGAAAAGAGAAGAAAAGGTCAGCATCCAACCAAAAGACATACTAAGGTATTGTGCAGTTACAGTGATGTTCAAACGACCCCAAATTCCACTCACAATTGAGAATGATGAATAAGTGCCTAAATGTCACTATATTCAAAGAAAGTTTTATGCCAATAAGAAGCCCTCTTATTTAAATTAAAAAAAAAAAAAAAAAGAATCCTTATTTATAATACATTGCCCAGAGCCTCAGCACACTTCATCAGAGATTCATGATAGAAACTTAACTGGTTGAATCATTCTACAAAACTAACATTTAGCTTATTGGCTCATAAGTTCCATGCTATTTCTTTTACAGGAAATGGCACAACACACTACATCCCACTTGGGTATTGAGTCATCAGTGCACATCCTTCCTTTTTTTTTTTTTTTTCCGTATAAAGAAAATGGAAAGCTCAAAATCGCTAGCCCCACATCTGAATCACTCTATTTAACTTCCACAATGAAATGGAGAAAGGACAGCCACAGCTTCACTGGCCCCTTCATCAGCTGGCCAGAAGCCAAAACCATTGCTGTTGAGTCGGATCTGAGCCATAGCAACCTCTCCTTGGGTTTCTGAGGCAGTAATCTTCCTTCCAAGGAGTGTCTGGTGGGTTTGAACTGCCAGTCTTCTGGTCAGCAGTCAAATGCCTTAGGCACTATACCACCAGAGCTTACTGGCTACCTACCCATGATCATGAAGCCCAACTGAAGCACTGAGACAATGTTAACAATCTCACATGAAAGGTCATCCAATCTTCTAAGGACACAGTGAAAGAATATTTTGATAAAAAAGAAGAATTTTCTGAGAAGTTCTAGGCCTAGATTCAGCCCAGTTATCAAATTTTTTAAAAATCTCTTTTGACCGTGTCACAATGGCATATCTTGCAAACTCCTTTAAACAAGTATGTGACACCTTTCTTTTATATTTTAATTTTACATGTGAATGTATGTTATGGTTTGAACTGTATCCCAAAAAAGATATGTGGAAGTCCTAAACTCTGGTATCTTCAAATGTGACCTTGTTTGGAAATAGGATCTTTGAAGATGGTATCCGTTAACATGAGGTTATACTGGAGTAGGGTGACCTTATAAAAGAGGAAAAGAGAACAGATACACAGAGGGAAGATGGTCAAGTGAAGACAGAGGCAGAGACTGGAGTGCTCTACAAGCCAAGAACCATCACCAGAAGCTAGGAGACATGCAGGAACAGATTCCCACTGAGAGCCCAAAGAAAGAATCAACACAGCCAATTTTCTGACTCCTCGTCTTTAGAACTACAAGAAAATAAATTTATGTTTTTATAAACCACCCAATTTGTGGTACTTTGACTGAGCAGCCCTAGGAAACTGACATAATTTATATTCAATATTAACATTTTATTTTCTATTGTTTTATTGCCCATTTCTGGAATTATGTGTCTTCTAAGCAGAAACAGATATGAATCCAAACCACATACCTCTCCATCACATTTCAACTTAGCAACTCAACCAAGCAGAAGAGAGAATATTACGAATACTTGCTAGCAACCTCTTGAGTGGATGATTCACAAAGATCTGCTATTTAAAGAGAAATAGCACTGATGCCAGCTATAAACACCTACCAAAATCATTAGCTATCAAACATGGACATCACTCTGATTTTCACAAACAAGAACCCAAGCAGGTGATGCATCCAAGAGAGGAGAATTTTATCAGGTACTCGAGCAACCTGGACCTTTGTCTTCACCTGTTTACCTCCTACTTGGTTCAGGTATCAATTTCTCCCCCTGATGATGCCTAATCCTGGAAACCATTTCCCTTCAAGGTTGGCAAAGAGGGCTTCCTCTTTGCTCACTTAACACACTGTGCTCTCTCTGTAATAATATCAATCCATCTGTCTTTTCCATTAGAATGGGAAGTTATTGCTTAGGTGGTACTGTTTCTGCGAGCATTAGTGTAAAACTTTTGGAAATGGATAGTGGTTATGTTTGCACAACACAGTGAATGCTATTAATGCCACTGAACTATGAACTTAAAAATGATTACAATGACATTTTTTCTATTTGACAGTGACATTATATCTATTTTATTACAGTATTTTTTTTAAATGATGAATGACTGATCAAATTGAGGATTAAACATCAACAAAGCAAAAAATAGGTCAATCAAAATTATTACTAAAGACATTTCAAAACATTTCCTAAAGGGAATACTTTGACAACTATTTCTTCTCACTTGCATCTGTAGTGTCCCTGACTTGGGAGGTTAGAATAAGATTGGAGAATACTCAGTAGTTTATACTCTACCACATTTCATACATATATTTTCTAATAAAGTTATGACAGCAGGTATTCTGTTTAACTTAGGTGAACAGTTTTAACTGATATAAAGGCTTTCTACAAAGTGGAAATAAAGGTTTTATATGAATGCTACTATGCATTATTCTTTTATAACTCTTCTGTGGTTGGATATTTCTAAGTCACTGAATGAAAGTATTTCTCTCTATCTCCTACTTTCAGGTCCTAAACAATCTAAGAAGAAGTTGCTTCTATTCATTTTTCTTGACTTTAAATCTACAAGGGAGAATTTGACCATTATTCAAGAATGTATTTACCAACTGTAGACTTATTTCCCCAAGCTTACTGAAAATGCATTTCTTAATATGTTATTGATTATCTTCCTTGCTATTTTGTTTGCTTGTAAACATACTAGCTTTGGTAGATAATGAATGTGAGAGGAAGGCAGGTAGCAAAATATTTAGGAACTGGATTTATTCTGCTCCTGAATAAACAATAATTGGATAATCCATGTTTTATTTGTTTTACTTATCTAGTACAAACACCCTGAAATTTCCCCAATTCCCATAGGTATTTTAGTTTTGAAAATGGAAATGACCTTGATACATGGAAATTTCAAAAACATAAACCATGTGCTATCACCTCTATAAATACCCTCTATCTTATTTGTATAAAATGATGCCAATAGAAGACAAATTTGGTACACAGATGTCCCTGTGAGCTTGGAAAATGTATTTTAACCTAGCCATATAATTGTCAAGAGCAGTATTGGATTACCCAATAAGTAAGGTAAGCACAGGATTACTTGTGCTTACTAATCTGTAGTGAAAAATTTCACATGGGTTTCACAAAACATGTGAAACTGTTCACTGCAGATTAGTAAATAAGCACAAGGAAGTCCATGCTTACTTTGTATATTGGGAAATCTGACCCTTGTCAAGAGACAAATTTTTAAGGCTCTTTAGATCCTAATTACATAGGGTTAAGTTTACTGAAATGTCAAACAGGTTTTATTTTAAAGGAAATAAAGATATAGGGATAATGGTTTGTAATTATTTTCATGCCAAATTTAAAACAAAATGAAAATATGCCAACTTTCACTTGTCAAATTGGAACTAAACACCAAAGAAATTTAAGTCATATTTCCTTATGGGATTATAACATTTTTCTGGTTTATTTCACAAGTTTATAGACATTCAGCCAAGATTTTTACACAGAAGAAAACATCAGAAGTGGAAGGGCCAAAGCCCTACAGGAAGAAAAAGATAAGCAAAAAATGCCTCAAAACTGTCTTATACTTTCTCAGATTGGCTCTAAACATTTAAGGGAAATACTTACTAGATATAAGCTTAAGAAAGAACTACAGAATGAACAATTAAAGATTAAATAAACCAGAAATAATGGTCAGTTTGTTATGCCTTACACAGAGACTATAATGAGGGTAACTTCTTGGCTGCAAACTGTAATTTGGAGCAAATCACTTAACCATGTGTTCCAGGCTAAAACATTGAGATAAAAGATGGAACACTCAAAAAGCATAAGAGCAAATCATAGAGTCAATAAAAATGTTTTTTTTTCCCAAATCAAAGCATGTGTTTTACAGCCTCAAAGGAAGACCCTCATGTACCCTGCACTTAAAAAAAAAAAAAAAAGATGGTAAGGAATTCCCCCTCCAAACATAATGAAGGCATTTCTGCCGGATCAACATAAAATTTTGCATAATCAATATAAAGCATTTTGAGAATCTCTCCATGCTTACGTACAAATTTCCTAACTAATTAGAAGATGAAATTGCCACCAGGGAAAGACACAAAAGCTGTTTTTTCAGAGATTGAGTATTCATTTGACCTGTATTCAGTTCATGTTATTGAATACGTTCCATGTGCTAAACATTTTTTCTTAGAGAAACAAGGATGAATAAAATGCCTGCAGAGAACTGTTGTTGTTACTATTTGCTGTCAGGTGGAACCCAACTCACAGTCACTCTTCCTTGGGTTTCCGAGGTGGTATCACTAGGAAAGGAGATTGCCCAACCTTCCTTCCAAGGAGTGACTGGTGGGTTTGAACTGCTAGCCTTCTGGTTTAGCAGTCAAGTGCTTTAGGTACTGTGCTAGCAGAGAACTATCTACCTAATAAAGATTTTATACTTTTGTGGTCATAGATTGTTGATATAAACCAAGAAAAAGACATTGAAAATTCCAATTACTTATGTTAGTAGTCCCCATGCTTACACTGAGCTTCATCCTATCTCTGAAGGCTCAGACCAAAATTTAGCTGAAATATTAAGAAATAAATGAGTCTGGTGTGAACATATCTGCCAGCAACAAAACTATTCCAACACAATCTTTTTTGATGATTCATTTTATCTATACAAATAAAATAAAATTTAGGGGGGAAAAAAAAAAAAAGACTATTTGGGTTGTAAACTCAAATAGGAAAGGGTAATGTAGAATAGGAACCCTGGTGATGCAGTGGTTAAAGTGCTCACCTGCCAACTGAAAAGTCAGTACTTGGAGCCCACCAGCCACTCTACAGAACAGACCAGTCAGTCTGCCCCTGTAAAGACTGTGCCTTTGAAAACCCTGTGACACAGTGCTACTCTTCCCTATAGGGTCACAATTGACTCAATGGCAATGAATTAATAATAATGTAGGAGCAGATCTTCAATCACATACATTCCAAAATGTTAGCCTTCATTTCTAGTTTCATATTCAAGTTGCACTAATCTTCACTACTACTGATTTTTCAGAGCCCTAGGAAAGCTTATAAAAAGAAACCCTGGTGGCACAGTGCCTAAGGCATTTATTTGACTGCTAACCAAAAGTTGGTAATTCAAACCCCTAAGCCACTATGCAGAAGGAAGATGGGGCAATTCAATTCCTCAAAGATTTATCACCTTGAAAACCCTATGGGGGTTGCTATGATTAGGAATTAACTCTATGGCAGTGGGGTTTTTTTTGTTTGATTGTTTGTTTTTGTTTTTTTGAGGAAAGCTGCTAGGGAGTTCTGGTGGTGTGGTTAAGACATTTGGCTGCTAAACAAAAGCTCAGTAGTTTGAATCCACAAGCTGTTCCTTCGAAGAAAGCTGAAGCAGACTGCTTCTATAAGATTTACAGCCTTGGAAACCCAATGGGAGTCACTGTAAGTCAGAATCAATTTGATGGCAGCGAGTAAGCGAGGAAAGCTTATACTCACACTACTACTTACATTACACCTTCTTGCTCAGGTTTCAACCACACGGCTAAAGTAAATGATGCTGCCAGCCTTGGAGGAGGAGGAGAAGAGAAGCAATTCTTGTGATTTCCAAAAATAAAGCTTGTAGAATTGCTGGAGGAGTTGGGAGGCAGATCATGCTTATCTGCTGTGATGCAGCTCCTGAGGCCTGCAGAGAACAGGGCAGTGTATGCAGGGGGTGAAGATCTGAATGGACAATCCTGAATGCAAAACCTCTGGTTACAGAACCGAATACTTTCAGCCTCCACAGAACTATGACAAAAAGTGCTTCGGTCTGGTAGTCCACATGTTGCTTGGGTTGGCACAATTGAAATGTTCTTGAAAGCGCCAACATTCTCCAGCCTTGGGAAAAGACCCTGTGAGGCGGCCAACGATATGGAGGCAAAATAGGCAAAGATCAATGCTTCTATGACCTGAAACAAGAAGCTGAAGCCCAATGAAAGAGCCACGCAGTTCATGTTTACAAAAAAGCATTCTCCTCCCGATAAAGCAATCCTAAATAAATAATAAGGCCCATGCCACTGGCCAGCAACACTTAAAGCTGGGTGATTTCAGTAACACTGAGATACTCCATTTTCTGGAAACTGCAGACACATTTTCACATGGAGATAATATCAAAGACGCTCTTAGCAATGGCAAAGGCAGGCATAGCAGCTGGTAACTGTGAATCAAAAACATAAGAGTGTCACAGAAAACCTGTGATACCTTTAAACTTAAAGTTCATCCTAACTATGAGAATTTCCAGCCCGGGACAAAGACGCATTAGGGAGCCTCTCAAAAAGCATTTAAAGTGAATTGTTTCAAGTGCAAAATAGTTATTCTTTTGGCAAATATAATGATTTTTATTAGGTAAATCAAGCACTCTAGAAGTCCACAAGACAAGCAGTTATGTCATATGTCTCACTACAGGGTAACTCCTGGTTGTGCTACCCCACCCTCGGGGATTAGCACTATCTAATTAATAAGGTAAAGAATTGTACAGATTTTTTTTACACATGCACCTTATGTTACAACACAGAGCTAACTTGCAGATGCCCAAAATAAAGCTGGCAAAGAAAGCACTTTGGGCCTTTCCCTCTCATCCCACCATGTGCAGCAACTTTAAGCTCATAGTAAAGCTGATTAGAAATCCAACACCATCTGTCTGTCCTGTGCCTTTATATTTAACAAATGTTTATTTTAATGTTTCCTCATATGACTACTTACCTGTAGGTTAAATTATGAACCCCTAATACTGTCCAAGTAATTGTATTGATAAATAAGCTGAGTTACCATTTTTTATTGCATGTCAATCAGCCCCCTCAGTGTGAAAAATGGCTTATCAACAAGCCGGCTGTCCCTCTCGTTCTCTTGCGACACCGCGTTAACCCCCAGTTATTCTTAGCAGATAGGCCACCAAAGCAGGAATGCTGGAAGGTAGGCTTGAGTAAGCAGGTAGAATACTCTGCACAGCAAACACTTGGTTACCTGAAACTCAGAGTGATGTCTGCTTTCAGGCCCGCATGGAACTGAGCGACCCAAGAGTCACAGCTAGGTCCTCAAGCAGTGGGCGGGACCTGGATGGGGCCATGCATGGGTAATTTTAAAGTAGCAGTACACCTTATGGTATAATCCTCAGGTTGTCTTCCCCTTCTTATCTACTCTCATGTACTTAAATCCAGTTAATTCTCTAATCAAAATGACATGCCACTACCACACCGCAATGCAATAAGTAATATTCAAAGCTCTTTCTCTTTTCTGAGGTATAATTGGGATTCTGCCCCTTTAATATTTTGACAGGCAATCTGGGTGACACAAACAGTTAAGGGCTCAATTAATAGTAGTTGGAATCAACCCAGAAGAGCCTAAGGCTTGGTAATCTGCTTTGCAAAGGTCACAGATATTGAAAACCCATGGAGCAGTTCTACTCTGCACGCATGAGGTTTCCATGAGTTGGAATCTACTGCACAGCAACAAAGAACAAAATATCCTGATGTTCTACTAGCTTGGTCCACTGAGGGAAGTTTCTGCTGACCATTTAGTTGTTACTGACTCTTCACTCCATGATAGCTCATAAAACCAACAGCTGTCCAATGGATTCTGATTCGTAGCTACCCTGTAGGAAAGACTAGCACTGCCCCATATGGTTCCCAAGGCTGTGAATCTTTATAAAAGCAGACTGCCTCATCTTTCTCCAGATTTCTTGGGTGTCCTTACACATTAGCTGGTTTTACATCAAAATTTGCTTATAAAAACTAAATAAAACAACCAAATAAAAACTGCCCCCACATGATAAAGAAAAAGTCTCAGAAACAGTAGATAGGAGGTATTGATGTGCAAGTCATTTTCTATCCTCTCCCTACATTGCATAGGAGCTCTGGTAGCATAGTGTCTAAGGCACTTGACTGCTAACCAGAAGGCTGGCGGTTCAAACCCACCAGCCACTCCTC